CCCCAAAACCCCAAAACCCCAAAACCCCAAAACCCCACAGCACACATAAGATTAAAAATTTTGTATTTTTTAATTAATCAATGATCACTCAATTTTTATTTTTCTTAATCAATCAAAGAAATTAATACCATCTATTATCTGCTTTAGTGTTTAGTTTATCTACCTAAACATGCTTGTTACATCCATATAGTCTCTAAATAATATCCTCGTGTCTACATAATTACCCAACTTATCCTTCATTTGGTAAAATGAATAATTATCCTAAATTTTAATATCTTAGTCTTAGGCTTATTTATAATCTTTATTTGAGCATTTTTCATCTAATGCCGGAGTTTAGATTGGATTGACCTAAACTGCTTTAAAAGTAATTAGCAGATAGATAAAGAAATCGATAAAGAATTGCTATGAATCAAACTAGAGAAAATTAACTTTCATTTAACTCAGATCTTGTGTGAAGATTTAGTTATGTTTCAAGAAATCTATAAACAAAAGCTGTAATTCATATTGTGAAAACATATCGAAATCAACTGTGTTATCATATAGATACTCCTTAGCCCAAGCACTAATAGTCCTGTAGGCTAATTTGAGTTTATAGCATTTGTTTAACACTTCTTTAAATTCATTATGCTACTTAACAATATAATCATCTTTTCCTTTGGTAAATATTAAATATATATCAAAATCATTCTCATGCTCTGGGTTAGAACATCTTAGAGTGAAATATTACCTATTTATTTTAGTCTTTTCACTAAATTCATGATTTTTTGCTATTATTTATGAATCATTAAGCTTCAGCAATGGCAAAATACTTTCTAAAAACTTAAAGGGATCCTCAAAGAGTTCTGAACATACAGCTAAATCTAATCTATAATGATGATATTGGACATAAAGTGTTCCTAAATCAAATGAACCAATGATCTAGGTATTCACATTGTTATGAACTGATTTTTAAAAAGTTGAATTCAAATATTTATAGCTCTATTAAACTTTACCTTTAAGATTTTTTAAAACTTCCTCTTCCTTATCTGAATATTAAATTATCACTCTTTCCAGAAACTATTAAGATACCTCATTTTTTCTAATTTTTGTAATCATATTTAGACTTTCTGCTTTAAGTATTTTAACTTCATCAAAGATATGGAGTGACTTTAAGTTATATAGAAACCCCTTAAGCTCTGGAAAGTTTCCTCTTAGCCTCCTAAAAACATTTGCACTCATATTCTTGATAAATTGATCATTTTAAGAGAGATTTTTTTCATCTATTTACTTCAAAAACATTAATGACTTTGATGCAAAGAGTCTAAATTAAAAAGTGTACACATCCTAAATTTTGTCCATAAGATCTATGTATATTTAGACCTTGGTGTCCTAATTAATATTTTGAAGTATGTCCAAGATATGATGGGCTGGAATCCATTTTGTTTTGGCTATATATTCAATTTCATTTTACTTTAAGCTTTTAATATCTTTGATCTCTTCTTAAATTTCTGTTAATCTTTTCTCAACTTATTTTTCCTCGATCATTGCTTTATCTGAGAGATCAACATCATATCCATATTTTTCTTAAATCTCTAAGTTCTTTTCAACCATTAATTCTTTTAGAACTTACCAATTTTATGAACTAATAAACTATCCAAAGACTAATTTATCTACACAGGTACAGAGATAATTTAGCTGATCGATATTTTTTTAAATTAAGGATTTTGAGTATCTCTGTATCAAATCCTTTGTTTGAAATTCTAGTATCACAGATGCTTCTCTAAGGATGATCATTGGATCAAGAGACACTGACTGTGATTATATAAATTAAGTTGCATTGATATCTTTCTCATTCAATTGCTTAAGTACTTGATAGTATATCAATGATAAGAATCTTAAAACCTCACTTGGAGATAAGTAAAGATTAGATTTAATGAGAGTCAGATCTTCACTTTCAAAATCAGTGGTGACATGAGTCAGCATATTTATGCAATGATTGATGTCATTTATCAAGTTAAAATTTAGACACATCTTAAGTGAATCTGAATTTATAGTAAGACCTTCCATGGCAACAAATTTTAATTATTAATTATTTTATAGTTATTAATATCATCAAGTTGAATTAGACTCAGTTCTAAGTTTTCATATCATGGGGTTTTGGGGTTTTGGGGTTTTGGGG